AGACATTGGAAGGTTTTATTTGGTCTTTCACGAATGTGGAAGGCTCGGTTTTAGCATCTTAAATTCCTTTTTGGCTTAAAAATGCATGTTAAGTTCACTTTGATTTAGGAAATGGTTCTATAGTTTGCTTTAATAATTTGGTTTGATTCCTCGAGGGGGGAGACATCTTTCATGCTTGAATAATTGAGGGAAATTGATTCATGCTTAGAACAATTATATTGGTGGCCTAAAAATACTTTCCATGACACTGTTATAGTTTAAAACCTATTTTGGCTCCATATACTGATGTTTTAAAGGCATGTGGACTGTTCTTTGGCCTTGAATGACTCAATTTTTTGGGTTTTTGTTGGTTCTCGGTTTTAATTTCAGGAGCATGGGATGTTGATTTTTTGGGTCTTGACTTTCGTTGAGGTATTGAAGCTCTTTTACTAGCTTTGAGAGTTTCGTTTTAGCCCTTGCTGGTTTTCAGTTTGCCTAAAAATGACTGGGTTTGGATTTACTATCATATATTGCATTTGATTAGCCTTTAAAGCTTTGATTTGATCTCTTTAGGGGCTCGGTTTTTCACCTTGGAAGGGTAGGAGGCTGGGTTCTGGATTGAGAGCTTGTCTTGGGTATGTGAGTTTTACTTGTTGACCTTGAGGGATTTATTTTGGCTTGATTTGGGAGCTCGGTTTGTTTGTTTTAGCTCCTACCCGAGAGCCTGTTTTGGGTGTTTGTTCCTGCCCCTGCTCAAGAGCTGTGGGAGGGTTCAATTTTGCTTGCTTTAACCCCTATTTGGGTCTCGGTTTTTTGTCTGGTTCTGCTCCTACCCGAGAGGTAGCTTAGGAGCTTGCTTTGGTTCGTTCTTAGTCCTACCTGTGAGCTTGTTGGTAGGTCATTTGGTTTGGCTTTGGCCCCTGCTGGGCTCTGTTTTGGCATCTTATGAGTGTTTTTGGCTTAAATATACACATTGTGGAGGAATTTATCTTGATTTGGAGGAGTTCCATAGCCATTCTTGTCTGAAACATATGGTAGTCCTACATTTTGATGTCTTGAGGGCATAGAGATGTTTTCTACCCTTTTGTTGTGGCCTGGGTTTGAGCCTTAGAACCTCAGCTGTGATACTCTGGTTGGGAGCTCGGTGTTGCCTTGTTTTGCCCTTACCCGAGAAGTAGTTTGAGTGTGGTTTTGCTGGCTTTAGTTCTTGTTGGC